CCCCCTAGGAATCAGGATTTTAATGAAATAGAAAGCACCAAGAGATTTCACTCACCAGCCAGTCCCGCCCTCCTATCCAACAGTCAAGCCGCCCCTACACAGCGAACACGCCCACAGTCCACCAACTTCATACCCCACACATCCAACCGTACACCTTGCTTCGTCACACCATCAAACAGACACAAACATCGACACTTCACCCTGAGCCCCACTTCACACCAGCCCGGCCCGGCCCCCAGTAGAAAAAAGGACATTAGGGTATAGGGAGTTAATCAAAGGGTACAGACAGCGGCCAAAATAGCTACAGCCACACTCAAGGGTACAGCCTTCACCCGCATATAACGCCCAGTCATTATCGCTGTATTTGGCACAACTTTCAGCCCAGATACGGCGATGATTACCGGGCGTTCTATTCGGGTGAAGAAGGTAGCAGGAAGAATTACAAAGACAAGGCTCTCAAAGAGGAGACATTTCCAGAAAAAAGGAAAGGGGCAGCAGTATAGGAGTTAGGGTTTAGTGGACCCCACCTGTGCCCAGGTCGTCATTTAACATTAGAGTTAGGGTAGTGTCTGCACAAAGTTGTTCGCGTTAGTGCGGTAAGCGTTGGCGCAGATCACAACTTGCGATCTGAGCATCAGCATCATAGGTGATGGTACCATGGTGCCATTTCGAGGTGACTCCCCAAATGGATGGGTCCTCGCAATCCATCTGACCCCTCCCAATGGATGAGTACTACGGGCATCTCCTGAGGCCTGGCCACCACCCTCTACTACACACTGGACCTTTCTTCAAAAAAAAAAAAAAACAGGAGTTAGGGTTTAGGGTTTTAGCATTTTCCACTGGACACTGTCCAGGTGGTTCCTCGACAGTAGATAGCCGGCGCAAATAGCCCAAAAACAAAATAGAGACAGGTGATAAACTTTTTTATTTTTAATAAGGCCAACTTAGGCAGAGGTGTGGGACAAGACCGACCATACAATACATACGTAAAAGAAAGCCTCAGCATCGATCAATCCAGCAAATTAGAATTGAAAGTAGACGCAAAGTGAGTGGCTTGCCGCTTTCTTTCTTTCTTTCTTTCTTTCCGTCTCATTAATGAAACAAGTGAGATGCGTTGCGTAAAGTCTCTGAGCATCCCAAACAGCTCGGCGCCCCAGGGGAAGTAATCAACGCCGTCTACTCGGGTCTCGCAACCATCATGGGGAGAAGCATGCTTTTTTTTTTTTTTTTGAGTAACTGTTGTGCTATTTTTTTGACTTGCCAGTGGAATAGGAACTGGACTGATGCTTCCCAGAACGGAAAAGGAGCCACAACCCTAAGGTTCTGTTCATTTAAAATTTTAAATAATAATAATAAAATTTAAAAAAAAAGGATTAGCTTGGCCTCTGCCCAAGGATGACACGCATAGATCGAGAAATGGTCCATATCAAAGGGAAACAAAAAAAAAGGAGATGATCAACCTGTCGACGTGCCGCTAGCATAGAAGGCAACATTCGTACTAAACGGAATATAATATATTAATAATATTATCCAG